GCTCTACCCTCCCGTCGCCGTCGCCCACATCGATGGGTAATGTTACTCCAGTTACGAAGACGTCGTTGGCAGCGAAGAAACAGGACGGATCGCTCATCGGCAGCGGCCACAACTTCAGTCCGAAACCATTCGTTAGTGTCAATTAGTCAAACGAATCGAGGAATCTCAGCCTTGCTCCACATTCTTCCGCTATAATCGTACGCGCTCCCGAATTCCTGCGGCACCCTTGCTCCATTTGTCAGCTCCTTATCTCTTCTACCTGTACGGCTCCCTTGTCGTCCATCGCACAACCGTTCCTCCTGTCAAACGCACAAACAAATCAATCAATTCACGGACGGACGGCGCGCAGCGATAGTAAATATCCTCGCGTGTTACAGCTGAACGGAACGAGCGACGGGTCCATCAAGTCCATCGTGAACAAACAGTACAACAGCCCGGTGGGGATCTACAGCGAGGAGACCATCGCGGAGACGCTCTCCGCGCAAGCGGAAGTCCTGGCCGGCGGTGTTCTCGGGTAAACGAAAAATCTAGCCGCGAAACGCGCGTCGACGTTCCGTCCTTAAACTGACACGCCGCTTCGATTGCAGGGTGAACTTCAAGAAGAACGAGAAGAACTATAACGCCGAGAACAGCGAGGTGTTCAAGATGGTCCAGGAAGCCGACAAGGAACCAAAGACTCCGGAGCCTGGTTAGTAGCTAATCGATCGACGTTAGCAAAGTTCAACCGTCGAATCTCTTGTACCTTGTTAACGATAGTCTAGTGTTTCGTATAGATGTAGTTTAAAAAATCACTGGAGAGTTTCTCGTCGACTCGAGTGTCTTTAGAACGATGATCTGTATACCAACGATTCAAGCGAAAGAAATCGTTACAACAAATCGCGTTAGAAGAGAATCGCTCTCCAGTGATTTTTCGCCCGGATCAGCTGGCTCGAAAGACGTCAGTCTGGTGCTCGCCGGTACGATAACTTGTTTGCGAAATAGCGGAGCCCACTGCACAGAGCGGCGTGATTACGCCGTCCTCGCCGGCCCTGGCAGGACTGAGGCCGGTCTCGTCCCCGGAAACCAGGCAACAGCAGCAACAGCAGCAACAGCCCTCGACGCCGCAGTCGAGCCTTCCACCCGGACAGAACATTTGCGCCGAATGCGAGAGGCTCATCGTGTAAGTTGACGGGCGGGGACTTGTCGTTCTCGGCCGTTACCCTGTTTCTTTCAGCGATCGGCGAATCTCGTCGAACGAGACCGAAGATAAAATAGGACGAACTTTCTTTTCGATGAAGAAACAGACGACGCTTCCGCGTGACGGATCTTGAAGCTACAATCGGATCGAGAATCGTAAATTCGTATGATAAACGGAACAGCAGATAAGAAAAGATCCGATTTTACTTGGATATCCGTGCACGCGGAGTGCAAGAGATGACAGAGACCGTTCCCAGAGGGGATAGCTCGTTGCTCTCGGTTATTAAAAGGGGCCCGTCCGGTGTCCAGTCGAGTCACAGATCGGTTTCTCTACTTCCATGTCGTAGTTCATCCGAGAACAGAGTATTACTCGATGGTGAGCCACGCCGTTGGCGGAAGGGCCACCTCGCCGAGATCACCCACGCCTCTATTCCATGCTCTCCACGGCAATGGTCCGGCCAACAATTCCAATGAAAATTCGTGGAAACGTTCGCCGCAGCGACAGGACTCCTCCTCCCCGTCTTCGGAAACGTCGATCGTCCGTTGTAGCAACTGCGACCGAGTGATCGTGTAACTATTTTCCACGTGACAACCACTTCTTCTCCCCCGTTTTGCACTCCGGCCGTTGATGGATCGGAATTCTGTTAGCTTGCCGGCGACACGCAGCTTCTATAAACCGTTGTCCCGTGTATATGTATATCTTGATATTTATATATATATACACACAGGTAACGAAAGAAATCACGCGAGCGACGCGTGGGTGGGAACGAGCTCGCGACTCGGATTCGCGCGCGAATCGCTGTACACGATCCACGGAATGTTTCACGGAATCCGAGTTCTTTTCGAACGAAGGAGCAGCTTCTTTTTTCGATGAGACTTTCCGTGGATGGAGTGTCGGTGTTCAGCGTGGAGCATCGTCGATGAATCGGCGAGGATTCGCTCTCGAATCGCGAGCCTCGTTCCCGTGAACGCTCGGGCGGCCGGTGATAGAACACTGTACGTGATTATCGTGGCCGGCTGGATTGCTCGATAACTGTGGTAACCGCCTGGATATCATCCGTCGAACGCTTTGACCAAGACGAAAACGCGCGCCTCGCATTCCTTCATCGAACGTACGTGGAATCGATCGACCGAGTCGCAGCTGAAATGCCGGTCGGGAGTCTGTCGATCGAGGATGGGAAACGCTGATGTTTTTTCTACATATGTTTGCACGGTTTTCCTGCTGTGTTTGAGTCGAAGCACCAACCCTCTCTGTCGCCTCTGTCGTCAATATCGCTTCTTCGGCAATGAACGGCCCTCCATCTCTCGATTCTCATCATCCTCTGGGAGTCGTGTGACGATCATCATTCGCACTCGTACCAGCTTCTCTCGCTTCATCTCGCGAGAAGTCTTCTCATTCTTTCTTTCTCTTTCTCTCTCTCTCTCTTTCTCTCTCTCTCTCTCTGTCTCTCTTTCTATCTCATTATCATTCTCTCTCATTCTTTTCATTCAACTTTTCATCGCATCTCTTCAGCAATCGGTGTACTCATCGGGAACCAGCGACGGTATCCAATCACCGGTGCAACGTAGAAACACGCTTTCGATGTTGTGACCATTTTTTTGCTGACTGTTTTTGAACACGATTTTTGCCTTTTTTTGGATGTCGATGTTACGCTTTTTGTACTCTATCCTTTTTCTCGGGCGCCGTGCGTCCTGTACATATCTTCTCGCACATTTTCGCGTCTTTCTCTACCGCGACGATTCTTTTTGAGACATTTTTCTTCGCTGCCTCTCTCTCTCTCTCTCTCTCTCTCTCTCTCTCTTTCTGTCGTCATCGAGTTTTTGTCTACAATCGAGAAAGCAATCATTAGATTCCACACGACAGACGTTACATTTTCAAACGCGTTTCATCTGGACACCATTTCACATCTGCCACTATATTCTACTTCCAACATTACTCACGAACAGTCTCGTGTTCTCGGCCTCCATCGTCGAGGTGACGAGTTCCTCTTCATTTCTTCGAATACTCGAGGTCCCCATGCGCGTTGGAACCTGCGGCAGCGATGGCTACGAGCGATGGGTTCGAGTCTTCGAAGTTCCACGAGACATGCTGCACTGAAACAGAACGTGAGAAAAGGCTGAAACCCATCGGTCTGATAGCGACGCGGCATGTTTCATCGCGCGTGGGTGCCTCTGGACGAAAAACTCGTGGCACATCCGACAACAAGCACTCTCTTCACTCATCGAGCGCGCGATCACGCGTGAATCCTGCTCAAGCGACTCACTTGTCCCGCAGGGGCGTCTTCGTCAGGATCAAGGAGAAGAATCTCCACGTGGAGTGCTTCAAATGCTCGACCTGCGGCACCTCCCTGAAGAACGTCGGCTACTACAACATCAACAACAAACTGTACTGCGACATCCACGCGAAACTGGTCGCCAGGCAAAACGCACCTGCCGGCATGGTTCCGATCACCGTACCGCCGTGAGTACACCCGATCGTTTTCTTCCATCTACGCCTGGAACAATAATCGTTCGCAAAGAGTTAACAAAGAGAACGGTTGAGTCTCGTCAGAGCGAGCCGTTGAACCGGCAATTAAAAAACACTACTCACCGGAAATTCCACGGAAACGGAATCCGTGGAACGGTGGGAAGAATGCGTGACAGACCACGATAAAGATCGAATGAAATTTACAGAGGCGGAAAGGCTCCTGCCAGCACCATTTCCGCTGCGCTCGCAAATGCACCGTTGTCTCCACCCCTGAGTAACCACACGTCCTCACCCCTGCCATACTCTGTGAGTATCTTCGACGAGACTTCTCTCGCCTTACCGCCGCTTACAGTGTTCCGCACAGAGTGTCGCTTTGCGTTCGTGTCCTGTTGCTTGACGATCTTCGTTTGCTATTCGAGCTGTGAAAACACGATGCAACACAGCTGGCGTTCATTAGATAATTACTTGCGAGTATGCTCCCGTTTCCAAGTTACGGGACATTTCTAAAATACAACGACGTATCGATTCTCTCGCAGGACTCATGTTCATTGATTTCGAGTACCAGCGTCGATGAAATTTCAATTAACACTTTGACTGCTGTGTTACTTAGCTACTTTTAGCTACTGTTCGCCAGTATAGTCATCTTTTTGAACGGTTGTGCACGTTATAGTCTATAGTCACATTATAGTAATCTAATTGTACAATGGAAAATTCTATCAGTCTGAAATATTATCGTACAGCTTCGCGGCTAGTCTCATAGCTGAAAGATTAAGAAAACTATTTCGATGGAAGTCATGGGAGTCGAGATCATGGGAGTTTGAACGAGCAGTCAAAGTGTGAAGAACTTGCCATTGAACGGTTAAGACCTAACACGCGCGTGTGTGTGGCCTCCGCTTTGCACTAATCGCTTTTCCAGGCTTACAATCGTTCGAGTCCAGATTACGGATCCCCGAACCTCCAGGTGTCGTCCCTGAATAGGAACGGCTGCATCACGAACGGCGAGTGCCACTGGGAATCGAAAACGTTTACGAGCACTATCACCATACAGACCGGTTGCACAGAGGTTGGCCAAACCGTTGAAATCCTACGAGCGTCCGGTTAGCTCGCGCGTCTCGCACATTTCGCGCATACCGGCGATGATGCATAGATCCGTAATACCGGGGCTACGATCGATCCGAGCAACGTTCAAAAATACACGTCGAAAAAAGATCGGCGATACGCGACACGTATCGGAACGGGAACGCGGAACAGAAAAAAGAGAGAGAGATGAACGCAGGAAATGAGAAGCAAGACACGAGGAAGAATATCGAAGGAATTGCGAGGGCTAATGAGTCAGAGTGCGATCGTTACGATATTCGACCCGATCGTCCTTCGGACCCGTGAACTTCCTTCTCGTTGACTGGTCGCGAACAATCGAGCCGTCATCTGGCAATCTTTCATAGCTAAACGATTCGCGACGCCTATTTCGAATCCGTGACTAATTAGCCTGGCGCGGCCGGGAGTGTGCGTGTTGCCGCGGTCCTCCCCGAATCTCTCTCTCGCTCCCCCTTTTTAATTGCCACCGCCACGTGACATCGATCTGTCGTTTTATGCATTGCAGCCCACCCGCCTTGGCACACCGCCCGTCGAACCACCCAGTTTCCGATCAGTCCAGGTAATGTCCCAACGCGGCCCGTCTTAAGCATCTCGCGGCTCGAAACCTTACACTCCGTAAGGTACGTCCTTACCGATCCGATGACAATCGCGGTCCCGCTGCTTTGAACCCGCTCTCTACCAGACTATGTTCTCCGACAAAGTACGTTCAATCCGCCGAGGAATCCGTTCCCCGATTCGCGACCCTTCTTTCCCGTTCGCCGATCGATCTAAAATGGCTACGAAATCGACGTCCCGATGGTGGCAGTGCGCGTGAAATTAACCGATTTCTCGGCTTGGTATCAAGGCAGCGGAAGCAAGTCCCGTCTTTTTCGAATCGATTCGAGATCATCGGAGATCGGTGTCGTTGCTCGTCGCGAGATCGTCGCGTTCTAGCCGGTACACAGACACCTAACGGGATCGCGTTTGTGTGTGTTCTTTTTTTTCCCTTCTCGGAATGCGACACGCATATGCAAGTTCCCTCGCCGATGGTTTAATTGCCGTTGTTGATCGTTGAGCCGAGCGGCGCGTGGAACGCGGCGAATAACCGAGTATTTTGTACCGCACACAGGCGCCGACATCCAACAACCTAATTGGTCCGAAGCCGTTCGGAGGATCGAGCTCTCTGTCATCGAACCTGTCGTCGCCGCCGCTGATCAACTCAGGGAACAGCACTCTGCCGCGACCCCAGAGTCAGACCGTGACTGGTAAGTTCTCTTCTCCGTGGATTCGGTGTACAGCGCGGGGAAACGCGAATCGACCGGGGTTGCCCGGGGGTCGTTCGGACGCGGAAGAAATCGCTCCGCCGTCGGCGACCTCGTCGTTACATAATTACGATTCTCTTACGTAACTCCGTCGATACCCTCGAACGCGACGGAGATCCGTTACGAACGCCGAAGCAATCGTTTTCCGCGAGCTGCAAGTTCAAACTCTCAAACTCGAGAGTTTCACGGTCGGACGGTATCGATGATCCCGCTGTTCAAGCTTTCCGGTGACACCCGCGAGGAATGATGATCGTCGTTCAACGCTGGAACTACCGAGCAGTTGAATCGACATTCTGAAATTCCTCTGTAGAAGCTACAAGAGTCTTTGATCCGTTTACAATTCAGTCAGCGTATCGTTCAATCAATGTCTTTAATCGTTTCTCAGAGAAACGTCCGCTATGCTTCCGACAATTACAAGGTAACGATATCAGGAAGCGATTCTGACCCGTCCGGTAGTTTCAGTGTTAAGCACCGCTTGATCGACGGAACGTGAAAAGCTTGAACAATGAGAACCGCAGGAATACCGCGGTTGTTCGTTGGTGAATCTAGTTTAAGACGCTGGTACAACGCTGAAGTACCAGGTGTTTATTATATCCCGTCCGTTACGTGCACGAAATTCCGCGCGGCGAGACTAGACGGTAGGATAATTACGGCAGGCACGCTAGCGGTACGCCAGGGACCGCGGGGGTACGTTATCAGTAAAGAAAAGCAGAAAATCGCGGTCGTATAAATTACCGGCGACAAGCGGGGAGCACGACTTTCTCGTCGTATCTAGGGGAACGATCTCCGCTCGATCGTGTAATCCTGACGACGAGCCAGCCTATTATCCTTGGCCTCACTTTGCTCTTCGATTGTTGCAAATAGGTCTGATCTCCGCCCTGCCAAAGCCAAAAAGTAGGTACACCCTTCTCACAGGTATGGCGAATAGATTCGACCCTGCTGACCGAGTTTCGAGCTTTGGCTAATACGCTCCATTTGGCTTGCGTCCTCGCATACTGTTCCGTTCTCATTTTTTTTTCTCTTCTTCTTCTTCTTCTTCTACTTCTCTTCTTCTTCGTGTACATCTATTCGCATCTACCTCCATCTTCATCGATCTCTCGTTCACCCAAGCATCCGCGCGTCGGATCGTTCGCTGGCCGAGACGAAGGCGATCCGATCGCGACCGATCGCCCCCCCTATACACGTTGCGTTTTCGCCCGGTTTGCAAGCTCTCTTCTCGAAACTTGCCACTCCATCCCGTTCTCGTCCCGTTCTCGCGGCGCGTGTCGACGGCGGGTTCAGAGAGCTGCGACACATTTCGAATCATGTCATTCACGTTCCCACGATCGGGGGTGGGAAAAGGGCGATACAGGCTCGACGATGATTATTTATACCGTTGGACTTTGTGGAGCAGTACGATGATGCGGTCCGATCGAAACGAAATTGGGACAGATCGAATCGAGACCCGAATAGCGAATAAATGAGTCAAGTCTGCATCGAGGCGGAGCTTGCGTAACAACAGAGACACTTTGAGTAAAAATATCCACGTGTTTGTATTTTGTTCTTACCCCTCTTCTTTTTCATCTCTTCTC